TTGGAACTCGACTTGGACTTTAACATCAATGACTCGTGACTTCACTTGGACTCGGGCCCTTTGACTCGACAAGACTCGATACTTTCTCCCAAACCCGAAGATTATAAAGTAAGTTATTGAGGAGCGCTGTGTATCTCTCACTGTGCATCCAATCAAATTGCGGGACAACCAATGAGAATGAGCTGTCGAACAATGCAATGGGTTAGAGAAAATGGTACCAAAGATCGTGTTGTTCGGATTTAAAAACTACGAGGTGGTCAACAAAAAACGAGTGGCAGTGAGTGGAAGGACTCGAAAGGACTCGAAAACAGAAACGGCAGGACTTGGGACTTGACTTGACACTTTTCCGTCTTGACTTGGATTCGACTCGGACTTGGCCTATTTGGACTTGAGACTTGATTCGGACTTGAGTGCAAAGACCTTGAGACTTGCTTGTGACTTGCAAAGCAATGACTTGGTCCCCCACCTCTGCCATATCGCAAGTAAAATACAGTATCCCCAGTACTACGGAACTGATGCAGTCCGTCTTTTTTAGGACCAGAATCAGTTCTACAGTGTGGCCCTGGACCGAGGTCCAACAGGGTTCGGTTTTTCTCTGAGGGGCGGCAGCGAGTACAACATGGGACTGTATGTTCTGGGTCTGATGGAGGGTGGACCGGCTCAACGCAGCAACAAGATACAGGTATACTCACACACACAGAGACACAAAGACACACAGACACACACACAGTGCCAAGCAAACTGTGCGGAGGGTTTTTGACCGTTTCCAGTTTCCTCAGGTGTCGGATAAGCTGGTGGAGATAAATGGAGACAGTACGGCAGGAATGACACACAGTCAGGTGGTGGAACAAATCAGACGAGGGGGACATCGAATCCACCTCGTCCTCGAGAAAGGAAATGGATACGTTCCTGACTATGGTGAGATGCGTCGTTGTGATAGCTGTGATATTAAAGATAAAAATGCTGCCACTGCTGTAATGCTTAAACCAATATACAAACCTCTAATGCAGGCATGGGCAAACTAAGGTACTGAAGGCTATAACACGGAGTCATGGTTAAACTCAGTACTTCTCAAGGAGTGGGTCGGGGGCCTGGAATATCACATGCTGCCACTGCTGTAATGCTTAAACCAATAAACAAACCTCTAATCCAGGCATGGGCAAACTAAGGCCAGGGGGCCCGGATGTGGCCCGTTCAGCTTTTTATTCCGGTCCGCCAAACTTTTTATTTATATTATCATTATACTTCTGCCCTTTTCCCTGCAATACCCATGTTTTCCCAATAGATGGCGTAGAAAATGATAAAAGCATTTTAGCCTTTATGCATTACTTTTACATGTCATTCATCCTAGCTCACGTGAACGCATCTATTTCCTCCTGGCCCGGCCCCCCGCCCCCTGTTCAATTTTAGGACAGTTGTGGCCCGGGAGTCAAAAAGTTTGTTCATGCCTGCTCTAGTCACTAGGTGGCAGCAACACATACAGTGGTTTGTACAGGTAAGAAAATACATATAATCAGGTTCTCGATAGTATTTTTAATTCCGGTAGGGTGTGAACATTCTGTCCCCTAAAGGGGGGGGGCCATGACATAGATAATTGAGAAACACTAGTTTAACTGACGACAAGGTCAGCACTCTTCATATTGAAGAGACATGACGGAATTATGGAGTGGTGCTAATCCCGGACATATTCTTGTCTCTCGGTGGATCTTTTTTTAATCGACCGTTTTAACGCTGTTTACTCCCTGTGTTTACTTTGTCTGTTACTTTCTCCTCTCTTTTTTCTGCTTCTTACTCTTACTTTCGTGCCGCATCACTTCTTACACTTTTCTCTCCATTATATTTTTCCTCCCGTTCCTCCTCCTCCTCCTCCTCCTCCTCCTCAGTGGAGCTATCAAGTCTCTCTCTGTGTATGACAAACTCCAAACAGGGTGAACCCTGCTTCTACGTGATTGGACGAACTGAAAACGCGCGGTCGGTAAAAAAACAGCTCCTGTTGTTTTCCATCGTTTTTGAATCACCTCATCCCTCCATTGTCACTGCTTGAACTGTGTTTACGCCACGTCAACTGAAATGCTGTTGTTAATGCCAGCGAGGGTCAGCAAATGAGCGAAGTTTTTCCTCAAGAAAGGTGCTCGAAACACTCGACACAATTTTTATAATTTACATCGACTCCAAATGCAAATGCAAATCTGACTGAAAGGAGGTATAATGGTAAATATCTCTATATGCTTGGACAAAAATAGTAGAAACCTTTAAAAAATAAAAATATAATTTGAATTGTTCCAGAAAAAAAAAATATTAAACATTATTATTATTATTATTATTATTATTACTATTATTATTATTATTGTTATTATTATTGTTATTGTTATTATTATTAATGTTATTATTATTATTGTTATTATTATTATTATCATCATTATTATCATCATTATTATCATTATTTTTATTATTATTATTATTATTATTATTATTAAAAATACAAATGTGAATGCTAAAGTTAACATTTGAACCAAGGTCAGAATGAAATAAACTACCGGTATATTTCATATATTCATATATTTCATAAATATGTATTTTTTATGGCTTTAGATTTCAATAATAATAATAATATTCATTAATAATCTTTACTGTTGTTGCTGGTGTTAGTATTATTCTAGTCTTTTAATAATCATAATTGTTGTCCCTGTGTTGATATTATTACAATAAGGTAAACTGACCTCATTTCATTACCACACTTTTCTTTTCATTTTTGTCAAACTGACCCTGAACGAACCTTGCCTAAACTGTAGCTGACTGGAGGAAGTGCACTAAACCTAATTATTGATGTGTGTCTGTCCTCAGACCCTGAGGAAGGAGCTCTCTCCCCCTGCTTCTCCTCGCACACTAAAGAGCAACCTGAGGAGGTAAAGATTAGCACCTCCTCCAGCCACCTGAGGAAAGGCGGGGGAGAGAGCGGCAGCAGGAGACAGAGAACAGGAGCAGGGTTAGGGCCGCCTTGTCTCGATCTAGACCTGGTGGAAGAAGAAGCCATGGAGGAAGAACGTAGGATGGAGGAGAGGAAAAGAAAAGAGAAAGAGAAGGAGAAGGGGACAAAGACCATAAAGGAGGGACAGAAAAAGAGCCGAAAGGAGGGGAGGAGAAGCCCAAAAAAGGAGAAGCAGGATTCAAGAGGAGCTACCAGAGAGGAGAGTGAGGAAGAGGAGCATAACATCACCCATCCTCCGAAGTATTCCGGGAGCTCAGGTGCCATATTTTCCTTCCTCATGTCCATGGAGGATCAAGATCGTTTGTGTCAGATTGATAGTGAATCTGAAACCAGCTTCTCAGAGATAAGCCAATTAGCAACCAACATCACCACAACAGACCGGAGTCCTACATGGGAAAAAAATGGCTCCTCAATCAGACAAGGTTCCGTCCCCGTGCGCTGGCTGAAGCCAAGACCCCACAAACTCTCCGGGGATTCCGTGTGGCAGGCGAATCACTGAGCAGAAGGTTGTGGATGGGCTCCTTTTCTAAATGGCGGAATGTGAAGAGTTTCACTTTTCACATTATCTGCTGGAATTTCTATATTTTGCTGTTATTAGCTACTTGATGAAAACAGGGCGCTTTTTTTTTTTTTTTTTTTTTTTTTTGTCCTGAGAGAAAACCTCCGTCTGCGTCTCACTGGTGATGACATAACATTCTGACTTCTGATTGAGTGATAAATCAAAACAGATTGGGTTGAATAATTCATAAAACCGAAATAGAAACACCAATCACCAGAGTGTGCATTTTCACCAAAGGTGATTTTGAGATGGCCTCACCATCTCAATGTTAAGTTTGATGCCATAAAAATCTTTTTTTTTTTTTCTTATTTGTGCCTGGATTCTGACATTTTCCCAGAATTCTTTAGTTTTTACTAAGCTAAATTAATATGTTAAACCATATTAATTTTGGATGTGCAGGTTTTTTTTTTTTTTTTTTGTACAACAACTGCACTACAGAAGGAGAGCCATTTGGACCTAAGACTACCCTTCTGGTTTGCAGATAATCCCTTCTCCTCAGCAAACAGTCACATGTTTTTACCCATCATGCTTAAGGGCTTCCTGACTCCTTAATGACATTGGCGTCCCTGGTCTGTTTGTGGTTGGTCACATCTTTTCGTCTTTTTCTGGAAAAAAAAAAAGACCCCTGTCTGCCTGCTCTTTCTTACTTTGTCGCAAGTGGTGAAGTGGGCGGAGCAAAAGAACGAGACTGAGCTTATTCCTCATTGTCATCGTCATCAACTTTTCAACTGTTAAGTTGAGCAATCTTATTTGAGCATGTGAATAGGATGGAGTTATTTTATTTTTATAAACATTTAAAGACTCAGTGACTACATCACTTTCGTCATCGTTAGTACTGTAGAAGAGATGACAAGTTGAAACGAAATGCTTGCTTGTTAAAAAAGAAAAAAGAAAAAAAGAAATGAAGAAAAACCTTTATTGTAATGATTTAACAGAGCCATAAATATAAAAACACAGATTTCAGGTCCAGCTGTGGCAAATGTCATCTCTATGGTGATGACGTTGCTCGCCACGGTAATCGGACTTGACCGGAACACAACGAGACTTTGCTTCTTAGTGCCATTGTGGCCAACGTCTTGCAGCTTTGGAACAGAACAAAGTGCCTCATTTATATTTATCTCGGGCCTATAACCTGCAAACTGGCCCCATCCCTTTGTTTAAATCTGCCCGTTTCCTAGCGTCATCTGTGCTTTTCTCTCAGAGACGCCTTTGAGCATCAGCATGTCCCCAATAAAAAGTAGCCTGATGTCCTGCCTCTGACTCTTCTTCTTTATAACTTGTAGAATTAATAATCAAATAATTATAATATAATCATTATTATAAAATACCGTATTTTCCAGAGTATAAGTCACTCCGAAGGATAGGTCACACCAACCAAAAATGCATAATCAAGAAGAAAAGAAAAAAAAAAAATATATATATATAAACATGTAAGACTGGTACACAAGCCTAGAGTGACCTCTAGCGGCTGTCGGGGTGAAAATAACGTACATTTTCAGTGGTGCAAAAGTAGCAGGTATACAAGCCTAGAGTTCCCTCTAGTGGCTGGCAATGTTAAAAAAAAAAATGTAAATTTTCAGTGGTACAGGAGTACCAGATACTGGTACACAAGCCTAGAGTGCCCTCTAGCGGCCGGCGGGGGGAAAACAAACAACGTGAAATTATAAATTTTAATATATAAGTCGCAAACCTACCCAAAGGATGGAAAAAAAGTGCAACTTATAGTCCTTATAGAAAATACGATACACACATATCTTATGACCTTTTTTGAATAAACTCAACTTTAACTTTGTCACTGATTCTTGAACATTGTTCGCAAGAATTTGCTGATACGGACTGGAATCCATGCGACCTTCAACTTTAACAAGATTGCCAGTACCTGCACTGGCCACACAG